TTTGCATGGGTCTTTTTATGTGTTTTTGTGTTTTATATGATATATATATATATTTTTTTTTAACTCAGTACTTCACGACAATGGAGTACACCGAACCTTTAATAAGTCATGCCCGCCGGACGGCCGTATAACTAGCTCGAAATAGGGTCTGTTGGTCGCTCGCAATCATGAAAATATGCATTTTTCAAAAGAGTTGTATGTTTTGTAAATGTTTTTTAAAACATTTAAAAGAGTGATTTCGATAAAAACAATCAAGCCAGGTTTATTGGCCCAGAGCACAATAACCCAGATAAAGTTTCAAAAACCCTTTTTCCCTTTCAGATTAGCCTGCTCTTTACCAAAACAACGTCTCCAGTCATCTCTAAAAACTACCCACGGTGGAATGTGAAAATGACACCGGTAAGGTAGTGAAGTGAAGACGGTGGAAGGCGATAACGTCCATGATAAGAATTGCCACTGATCACTAAGCTAGAGTGGCCTCAGGTAATTTTCGCAGGTCTATCTTTACAATTGAACTAGCACAGAGTACCCCCAGACGACCCTTCCTTCTCCCAGTGCTAACATCTCTTTCTTTAGAGTCTCATCTATAGTCTTGAGACCCCCCTCACCTTCTTAGTTTTCTTCGTTTTGGTCGTCAGTATGTTGTACTAGATAAAACACACTTACGTATTCCAGGATAGGGATACAATTTTCTTTTCGTATCTCCGTGTATCAAAGTGTGGATACCGGCATAAGTGAGAAAATAGATCACACTGGTAAATCTCTCTGAAACAGTCTGAGAGCTAAAAAATTGAATCCTTTCTGAAATCAGAGAATGTTGGCCTCTGTAAAACTTGTTTACATTACTAATACTCTATAATGATACAGTAAGCAGTGTATGCTTAGCTGTATGAACACAGACATAATACGGTGTCTATTGACAAAACCTCTTTGCCAACTCCACATCTAAACATTGTTTGCTTTTACAGTATGAGAAAGGCTTACCGAGCCCAGATTAGAAAAACCTTTATATATACTGAAAATACATCACTTGTATTTGGGAGCCACTGATTTCAAGTGCGCTCAAAGTTAGACTTTTAAATTTGCTAAATTTTAATTCCCGGTCTAAATCATACCTAATTATGTAGCTTTATGTGACCGTTTATGAAGTCGAAATGGGATTGTTTCAGAAAACGGAGAGAGCGATACTACCTAGCCTGTTCCAGGCTCCGAGAAGTAGATCGCTAAAACTGTTAAAACGGATGCGAAAAACGCACAGGGGCTGGGCAGAGAGAAGGCCTCGTCCTCTTTTCCAGATCACGCGCGATCTCTTTTCCCTTGACCTTGTTTTTGCGACGTCCCTAATATGGTTTACTGTCCGCGAGCCTGGCCAGGCTAAATGCTTGTAGATTGGCCTGTATACAAGTAACCATAACAAAAGAGATTTTACAAGGGTATATTTCATACTTCTTTCCTCCAGTGCATTAGAAAATTTTACGCCCTTTGCCTAAGCTATAGCATCCGCTACAAACTCCTCTCTGTGGGAAACCAAAGGTTCCAAAAATCATTGTCTTTTGTTTGGAAAAATTGATAATCTAACTAAAGATAAGCGAATTTTCATGACTTACGTCTTTTGTGCTGTTATCAGCTATCCCTTATCTTCTGTCTTTCATGTGTCTATTTTACTTCTAATTTGTTTTTTCTTCTTTGATTGCTATCTTACGTGGGTACAGGTAGCTACGCCCCCGAGAATTACTTGTAATGATAAAATTAACAAGAAGAGGAAAAACTGTTATTTGATGGGAGAGCTTTGAATAGATTTATTGAAAATTAACCAAATTGCCTTAACTCCAAATATTCTAAATCTATTTATTTCGTCAATTTTTTTTTTTTTTTTTACCCACGTATAATCAATAAGTAAAGAACAACATGGAAATACACATTCGTAGTCAATATCTTAATATAAAGACTAAATGATGATGACCTGATTGACGTAGATTCTCTGCAGTGATTTTATTAACAGAGAAAGAAAACTGGACTTAGACTGATATACACTTGATGGCCGAAATGAATCATGAATTTATTGCAAGTCTTCGACAGCTGGGAATAAATTTGAATTTAGAAGGTATATACAAAAATAAACTTCACGCCTGCTCAGAATGACCCAAAAAGATGATACAAACAAAAGTTGACACAGGCTAGACATGGGTCTTCTTAATAACAAAGTTATAAGCGTTCTAAACAAGGAACAAGACGCTGTCGGAGCGTATATTTGGGCGTGGTTGTACTACTTTTATGATAGGTAGAATTTTGGTTATTCCAGCTAAAGAACGGTAATTATATTTTATTAGAGAGGATAAATGTTTTAGTCTACTTCTTTCCTCATTGATACAACTCAAACTTGAAAATATGCACTTGTTCTCTGGAGAGATGCTTGGAGTAAAATTGCAACATTGGTCATCAGTGGTTCTAGCCTGGAGACTAAGGTTTATCACCACTCCACTGATGCTGACACTTTTAGGAAGATCGATTGAGATATGTGTTTTCACAGCAATCATTTTCGTTACTAACAATGGTAGAGAAAGTTCGTTAAGTGGAGTATCCAGAACAATTAATAAGAGAGTAATAGATTCTATAAGCTGCTATAGTGGCGCACTGGTTACAGGAAGATATGTAACTATTGACATTTGGTATATTACAATATTCAACACTTCTTTAGAAAAGATAAACGTTAAAGGCGGCAATATGTATACCTTTAAGTAGATCTTTATCCTTATTGTTATATAGAGTGTTAAAATATTTTACAAATTTATGCATAGACGTTGTTTTGAACAATAGACATGTCTGATGACTATGACTTGTACCATACATATCTCTAGTATGGGAATCAAAATAGTTTATATCCTCCACTGTCAATGGTGTAGATATTAACACCAATAATTCCCACAGTTAAAATGAGTGAGTTGTAGTTGAGTGCCAACAGTGTTGTAAATGCTGTACCAAGAGGCATATATAGTAGTAATACCGGTCATTTCTGTTATCACCATGCATTTTATTACCCATTTCTCAGGGAGTTTTGAGGCATTTTCAGAGAGTTAGTGCTATTTTCTTGTTCCACTGCTAAGAGAAAGTCTGTCTTCGCTGTCGAACACCAAAATGGTGCTAACCTGGTGAAAATGGTTCAAAACTGCCTGAGATGTGTGCAAAGAACAAAGAATACAACAAGGGAATAAGATAAGTCGATGTTTTGAAAAACAATATTGTTTCTCTCTTTTTGCCAAAACTGTTTACATTTCATACAAGTGTTTGTAAATAACTGTTTGTAACACAATAGCACTCACGAGCAAAAGCCACGTCAGCGTTTGTGTAGTGAAGTTGGGCGTTCTGTGTATCAAAACAATGCAAAATTGATTTCTGGTAAGTTGGCTGCTGTGAAAGGGGCGATGTTTCGTAATTTTGAGTTGTTCTTGTACCAATGTTGAGAAAGGGTCCTTTGTTCAGTTTCAGTACAACTCGATTAGAGTATTTCATTTGTTCAAAGAATAATTTCACTCCTTAAAGGAAACTGAATAAGTTGTATTGAATTTGAGAAGTTGAAAGTAACAAACAAATCAATAATGGTAAAAAGTAGTTTATTTTCTTTGAGAGATTGTAACAAAGTTGATAAGAAGTGAACTCAAAAGTGTCTCTCAGGAATCAAAATAAAGTTGAACTATACTAAAGAGATGTTCCAAAAACCAAGGTATTTTCAGTTAGTTTTACTTAATAATGATTTACTTATTGCATAACAGATGATAGGCGAGGATGATTAGAAAACATAATGACTATGATTCTAGAAGAAAATTTAATTATTAGCCAGAAGATAAAAATGACTAAGAAACGAAGGGTTTGTTTAAAGTTAAGTTGAAATTAATATTAAACATTTGCAAGGTTATATTTTCGAGAAATGGCGAGGCCTTTTACATGTTTCATTGATGTGTAATAAACATTGGTTTCCTTAGTCATTTTTTATTCTCACAACAATAATAATATTGTAAAAAAATTGTTGATTATGAAATGTAATATAACGAGTAATGAGTATTGATAGGCAACGCAACTCCTTTTGTTTACAGCTGAATCTTGTCAATTACTTTATTATTTAGTAGGGGTGTGTTGATCTTGAGTGCGATGTAGTATTCCATCTGTTTATTCCCCGATAAAGATAAACAACAACAAAACTAAAAACAACGAAAAGCCACAATTGGGGCTTAAATAGGATTTGTGTGGGTGCCGTTGGTGTAGAATGTAAAATTGTTCACTCATCCGCCTTCTGATTGTATTTGCTCCATCAAGGGGTTTGACTACCCTCTCCAGAGTGCTCGTCGGGCCGAAGTTGTTGGCACAGATGGGTTAGCTAGGTTAATTAACTGCCGCCTAGGGCTTGGGGTATTATCATTACAGGTTGTATAGTTTATTGTCATAGCTATAACAGGGGAAATGTACTAATTGACGTGACCTCACTATAGAAAAAGAGAATGAAAGGATCTTGGAAATAAAAATGACTCAGTTTGGTAACTTAGAGTAGATTGTATATTTTGAAAGGCACATGGTTTGAAGTATGGAAGTTATTTATGTTGTGAATTTCTTGTTTTTGAAGGAACTTTGTTGTCCTGAGTCATTTTTTTTTTTTTAGAAAGAGAACAACTGTGATAATTGTGAAGGGCTTGTCTATTACTCTGTGAAGTACTCTAGATTTTAATGTCTGTCGGTTTTAAAAAAAATATGTAAAAGGTAGTAACACTTTTGACCAGAGAGGTTTATTTATGCAAACGATGAAGCAATTGTCATAAAAAAAAGAAGAGAAAAAAGGTATTATCGAAAAAAAGGAAGCAAACTAAAGTTCTTCAGAGTAATTTAAGACAAGTGCCCCAGTTCAAGCTGAATACGTAGTTGTAATAGTATTGTAAAACGAAGTTAAGCTAAGTTCTCCAAGGAAATAGTTATAGAGAGAATAGCTTAAATAGTTTGACAAGTACTTACATTTATTTGAAACGAACGTCCTCTACAATTAATGATTGTTCGTTGAAATCAACGAAAAAGTTTTTAAGCAAGAAAAGTTTAGCGAATACTTGTTCTTCCGGTGATTGCAATGTCACATCAGAAGAGATATGTTCCAGCATGGTCTGAAGAGTTGATGTGAACACTTTTAGCCAGATAGGTTCAGCATTGTCGTCTGGTTGGACTTGTATGCGAACGGATCCTTTCAGATGACACGAGGAGAGAGGTTGCACAGTGCTGCAAATGGCACATTTGATAAGACTCGCTGTGGTTGTTGTAACTTCAGTGACTTGTTTTCCACATTTCACGCATGCCAGCCAAGTCTTGTAACTATCAGCCAGTAGGATTTTTGGAACGTAATGTGATACGGCATCGAAAAGCCTCGAGAAATCTTCTTCACTTGGGGGTTCATAGGATTCTTCAGCAATGGTAAAAGTTGTTCCAGGAGTAGATGTGAGATACTTGGTGGAGTTGAAGATCTTTACACGCACATCTGTTATGGAATAAGTTTTGTGATTTGCGACTTCTTGGATGGCTGTTCCCCACAAGGTTAGGCGACAGGTTCCGGTATCGTCAGAAACAGTGCAACGTTCTAACATAGAGACTAAAGAACCATCCTTCATAGGGATCTGTTGGACGCTGTCTGGGCGTAGAGTCAAAATGCCTTTGACACATGTGAGTTGGTTTTCGTCTAAGCGGATGATATCTTGTACAGTTGTAAACTGTTTAGAGGGATCTGCTTCAGGTTCAGCATATTCGAATTGAATATCGTTGTTGTTTGCTGGGTCGACGCGGGATCTTTTGTTGACGATAATATCATCTTCCGATGGATCACGTACACTTGGTTTCTGCGTTACGTTGTGGAATACAACAGGTTCTCTTGATTGCTGAAAAGTTTTAAGGACCTTGTGCTTTGAGATGTCATAGCATACTGCTCGTCGTTTCAACGATTCGTCTACTTGGAGGGCGAATACGAAGTATGGGAATGATTTTACTCTGCTTTTCTTAGCCGCAGATACATCGTGTATATAACCCTTGAGTCTCAGTTGATTCATGTTGAGAGGCAGTTGACAATATTGCCCAGCGTAAAAATACTGCTGAATGGTGCAGTTGTTCAATGGGGAGCCCTTTTATAGCAAAGTAACGGATCGAAATACACCAATCAGGGAGCAAGGTTTTTTGTCGAAATAGGTTATCCAATAAAATGTGAAGATGAATAGCCAATGAAAAACCATTATTTGATGTAAACAGAGATGTATGTATACAAAAACGAGTCAGAACTTGCTCTTGGAACCTGTTTTTAAACTTGATGTAGTAAACTTGTTATGAAAACTTGTTTATAAAGTTAATGTAGTAAGAATGTCCTGAAAAGGTGTTATGAAGTTGTAATAGTACAAAATTGTGGTGAGCGTGTGATAATCAAGAGATATTTGTTGATATGAACGTTGTTTATGTAGAGGAGGATATGGTGTGGATATTTTTATTATTTTAAAGAGGATGAGTGTAGAACTGCTCTTTTGATGTAAAGAGAGATGTTCGTTTACAAAAGTGAGTGACAAGATGTTATGAGAATCTGGTTAGAAAGTTGATGTGGTAAACTAGTTATGAAAAGTTGTTTATCAAGTTGAACTGGTAAGATTGTCCAGAAAAGCTTGTTATCAAGTTGTACTCGTACAAACTTGTTATGAGAAGGAGATTATCAAGTGATATTTGTTTTTTTGGGGGGAAATTGTAAAGGGTTCACCTGCAAACTGCGTGACAATAAAGTGAGCTAGTGAGGGTCTCATCACTTGAGCCTAAAAGCAGTGCACAGGAAGAGCGTGTTATCCGCGATGGTGTTTGTGGCTTTGTTGAACATTCACCTGGTGGCCTTGCAAACGTGATTAAGTGGAAAATTCCCATCCAAGATCCCGGCATAACAGTCGTGGGATCGGAGCTAACGGGGTTGGCTGGGTTGTTCTATAATGACGAAGTTGATTTGTGTTTTGTTGAACTGGGGTGTGTGGATGTGTGCAAAGCCAGTGAGCCCTGCTAAGGAAATCAGGCCGTTGGTTCTATAGCGAACTTTTACTCTTTGGTTTTGACGTTACGGAGTTTTCAAAAATTATTGTCGTTTGTTACCTCATATTAGATTGTAGGAGAAACAAGTTTCAACAATTAACAAAGTACAGCTATTATTTTACAAATGAACGTCTGATATAACTGCAAGTATTCCACTTGATAGATGTCAACGAACTCGTAAAATAGAGAACACCGCTGCACTTTTGACGGATCCCTAATACAGGTGTAGGACATCGTCGCCCCAATTTAGGGTTCTACAACGTCTTGTTTACAGGAGGTTATAGGGTGGATAATTTTGTACGCCAAAGAGGATCAGTGTAGAAGTCGTCTTTTAGGAAATTAAATTGAAGTGAAAAGGAAATTTTCACATACTCCGTAGTTAGCTTAAGGTACTCGATGCGGGAGGTGTTGAGGAGAATGGAAAAAATAGAAGAAAACCTAGCTGTAATAACAATTTTAAGAAGAGGTGTAAAATAAGATATCGTAGAAATGCGTAATGATTTGCTAAAAATAATTCAATCTATTTTCTAAAAATATGTTATATTTATTTTAGAGCTTGGTTGCTGGATGTGAACTAAAGTATCGACTTCAACATAGTTGTTCCTGTACAAAAGAGTATCGAAGACATGAGAGGAATATAGTAAAGAGAACAAAAAAAGTACTCGGCTTGTGGCCTGGTGCTTTCATCTGTTTTTCGGTGTCTGGAACTGCTGATGAAACACTCCCACTCGTTTTTGACATATTACTGGAAAAGCATAACCGAATGAATACAAGTGGGCTACTGATTGTCCTTCATGGGAAAAGTTTTCTTTCCCAGTGTTGGTTTTGGTCGTCGATTTTTTGGTAATTGTGCTCATTGCTGTATTAATTGTCATTTCGTTTGGGCTTTCTACAAAGGTTATCTGGAGTGCGACGATAGCGCTGTGTCTTTACTTTTTCATGACTATGCGCAGATGGAACGTAAATAAAACAGGAATTTATCCCTTTGATGGTGGTTATCGCAATTGTTGTTTTTTTTTAGGTTTTGATTAGTAGTATTAGCCGGAAAAATAGGCCCATCCTGTATTGCACAAGAGTTATTATGGACCGACTTTCAAATTGAGTTCTTTTATCAATAGAAATTAGTATATTTCATGGAAAACGAATTTGTGAATATTGAATTTGTGGATGAGAAGTTGAGTATTGATTTTGCGACGTTAGTCTGATAAGTTTTAAGAAAAGAGAAAGTAAAGTCAAGAAGAGTTCACACTCGCAAAATTAATGTTTATTTATGTATTTCTGATGTAATTCATTGATGTGATTTATTTATTTCTGTTTTATAATTAATTAATTAATGTAAACAAGATGACATATTGTTAATGTCAATAAAGTCTTTTGTGTCCATCGCTTTCGCTACTTGAAGCATCTTAAGGCTATGATTTCGTTAATTGTAAGGAAAGTGCAGGTTTCGTTTGTTTATGTCAGGCAGATTTTGTTATCTTAGATAAACGTATGCGTCTTGTTTTTCTTTTGAAAGAAAGGGTGTATTGGAGAATAAGAAACAGAAGACTTTATTGACGAGGAAAAGGCGACCCAAAAATTTACTTACGTGCTAACTTTTTTATGTATACAGTAAACTACCGCTCATAAGCCGTGGGCTTATAACTGCTTATACAAGTTCGTAAAGGGTTTTGGGTGGGCTTATAAACCCGGTGGGGGGCGTTTATATGCGGATGGGCTTATAAGCGAACAGGAAAAAACGTTTCGAAATGAGCAACAGCACTGTTATGGACGTATAATTTAAATGTATTACTCTTACAATTGAAGCCTTAAAAAGGCAGCAATAAATCGAATTCAGTTAAATTTGAAAATGAACTCAAAACTGTGACAGGGGCTTATATCAGGATGCGCTTATAATCGGATGTATTTTTTTTTTTTGGCATGTAGGGGGGTCTATAACAGGGGGGCCTTAGAAGCGGATGGGCTTATAAGCGACAGTTTACGCTATAATTTGTTGATAAACACAACGACAATATTGTTCTTTGTTCTTTATTCTTTACTCTTTACTCTCCTCTTTACTGAATCAGCGCTAAGGAGAAAATGGAGAAGGAGTTGATGTTAGTACAGCTGGGTAGTACGTCAGAAATGCATAGATAAACACATACATATGGAACATAATATACCAAGCCCCAGTTGCTGAAAAGGTGGAAAGCGGTATGCACGGGAGAAATCGCTATTCAGTGGATAGTGCAATTGGTGTTGGTACTAGTTATAGACTATATTATGATTTATCGGATGGATAGGGCTATGCAACGTTTGAACAAGTCGGGCCGAAGGTATATGTTTCTGATCTTACACTAGCAAAAATTTTAGAATTTTACCTTTAAAAGTGAAATGATTGACGTGACGTAAGAAGGACATTACGCATGCGTTTTAACTGCGCATTAAGTATCACGATGCGGAACTTTGGGTTATGGTTCCGATCTTAGGATAAAAATTTTCCTTCATACATGTGGATAGAGTATCTATTTTGGTTTGGAGAAATGAGTTTTTTGCTGTAAATTTCGTAATAGTGGTAAGTTTTGGTATTATTTAGTAGATAGCGTACTGAAAATGGAGAAAGTAAAGTTTGTGATGAGTACTATTGATGTTGGTAGGAATAATGAAACAAAACTTTTGATCATAAGATAAGAGTTTAACTTCGTTTGTAATGCAGTACGTAACCTGTAGATATTAAGAAAAGATAGGCAAATGAAAACAAAATTCTGTTAAAGGGTAGATGATGCAGTTAAAACAGGAATGATGGGAAGAACGTTGCAATATCGAAAAGGACATCTTTGATTGTTTGGTGTAGTTCTACTTTGTTATGGGTGGTGTTACAAATCGTGCAAAAGTATCCACCAGTTTTACAAATTGTTAGTGCTTGTTTTCTCCATGGCCAATAGATCTTTACAAAAGGATAATCTCATTGTTTTGTTCCTCTTACATCCTTGCTTGAGGGCTTGAAGTATTGACGCTTGCAAAATATGGGTGATTAAAGGGGGTGTGTTACAGCAGATTAGTTTATGTTGTTTAATTTTGCCAATTACTTGCTCTCAATCGCCATTGAACTTAAAGTAACCAAACAAATTATGTGTAAATTACAAAATCCGAGCTGTCAGACAAAGGAAATGAATATCTCTCCTGAGCATTATTTTTGAATAGGTAAGAACCAGGGGCAGAATTTCAATCCGTTTAAATGTTGTTCAAATTCAAACCCTCCAGTATGTTGTGGGGATTGAGGAGGCTGTTCTTTGAATTGAGTTGCTGATAAGGAACATATTTTTTTAGTATTACCTTGTGGGCACATCTTGTACAACAGTGTTTGTTATCTGTATAGTAGTAGAAATAGAAAATAGTTTATTATTTCGTTAGCAACAGTAAAAAGTGACACTTTTTGTTAGTGGTTATGTGCAAATGCATATAAATAAGAAAGTTGAGGTGGATAGAATTTTTTTCATCCATAAATGGTATGAAATAATATTATTCATTAACAACTAAATGATTGGATAATTCAATTGTAGAGTTTTGATTGGCTTAGCAATGATTCTATGTAAAGGACAAAATAATGGTACCTGTAATGAAGGTGAAAAGGAGGACTAGTGGAAAAGATGTGAGCAGGAACAGAGTGAGTTTTTTGATAAGTAGTGTAATGTGGAATTTTCAGGATATCATGTAAAACAATAATTATTGCAAACAATTTGCAGCATTAATTTAGGGAAAGTAGCTTTCCAGGCACCTGCCCAATTGGTTGGAAATTAGTGGTTTAAAATTCCCGTCCCCCTTAGAATTTCCAAGTATCTTTTGTCACAGGTGTGGTAAAAATGTGTTTTTTGGGATAAAACATTTTATTTTAGTAATCAAGGTTGGCAGATATAGTGAACAGGATGTCTATTAATAAAGCCCCTTCATTTAATAAGTTGTTGCCTCCCTTTCAGGAAGAGGAAGTTAATAATGTGGCCTCTGTATTATATCAGTCCCCTATTTAGCTGTGTTAAATATTCGTGGCTAATACCTAATAGACTGTATTAATGAGTTACTAGTGTAGAACATCACGTGGACTGATGTGTCATCGTTTGTTTAGGAATTGCACGGTTGGATTTAATTGTGATTCTTGCATTGCATGACATCCAATTTTTTTGTACTTGAGCATTTGCACTTTGTGTCCTAGTTTTTTGTGGACAAGTGATGTGATTGCCTTTTCAAAATGAAATAAGCCCCCCTCTCAAATAAGCCCCCCTCTCATCAAATGGGCTTGAAAGAAATAATGACCCCAAAAGAGCCTTAATAGAGATTTTATCGTATGTGATTTTGCAAACTAAAGTAACGGATATGTACAATTTGAAAGAGTAAAATAATACTCTATGTGATTAACAGTATGGTAAATGTTTACTCACAACGTGCGTTGTCATATTCCTGGGTATTAATCAAGCGTTTTAGAGCTATAAGTGGAAAATGCATTTGATTAATAATAGGAAAAATTTATGGAAGGTTATTTATTGGTTTCTTTTTCATTTTGTAAGGTAATGTTGAAGATGTAATGTTGGACAACATTCTTAGGGGTAAGTATAAATAATTTTTTTGTATATCATAATTATGTTTGCTATTTATACTGTTGTTTCTTTCATGTAGATTGAGAAATAGAAATTCTCATTGATGAAGATGAGTGTAAAAGGAAAGAGGTTTCAAGAGTGTCAAGGATTTCTTCTCACTTTTTTTTTCTTAGCACTTTCATGTGAGATTACTCAAGAAATAACAGTTCCATTTTGCAACAAAGTTGTTGGGCAATTGTACTGAAATAGAATAACTTTATAGAAGAAAACAATCTGGATCTCTTTCTTTACCATTTATTCAAACTGGAGTGTTAGTTGAGAGGAGTTATTTTGTTCTTGTCTTCAGGATAATATGAAAGTAATGTTTCATATGGTTTAAGTAAAAAGTAGTAAATATTGTTATTATCACATTGTTCATTATTTTAGGTAGTATAGGAAAGCAGCAGACATTGTAATAAGGCAATATATCTGACTGTGCATATTGTTATTTTGTGCATTAAATGTTACGAAATTCATATTTACCAAGGGGTACTTTGGTTTGCTTCGTAACTGTACGGGCACTGAAATCTGTTGGAAAATTACAAAGTAGTTATTATTAATGACTTACAGTAATATTTTTAGCTCAGTATTTCAGTTTCACCTAGTATTTGTTCAGAAAGGTGGTATATACTTGTTTGGAGAACAGTAATATCAGTAGTCTAAGGAGTACTGATAAATTACTTTACCTGTTGTTGTTGTTGTGCTTTGTACCCCTATGTCTGTGAAAAAGAATTATTGAAAAAATAATTGGTGTTTAAGGCTCATTTGTATGCTGTGGAAATTATCTAAGAGGACTAAAACGTTTTCTATAGATAATATGATAATCAATTGTTATTAACACATAGACATGAAAGACATCTACTATGAAAATGGGTTCTGTTAACTGCAATTATTTACCATACATAGGTAATTGAATTATTGTCTCTGCAGTACATTTTTGGGATAACAGAAGATGTGTTTTGAATATTGACATCTACTTGGCATCAAAAAATGCGGTTATAGAATTTTGTCAAGCACAAATCTTATGAAACAGTGGAGCTTCTTTATACGTTGCTCAATTTTATTTAATTTCTGCATTAACGTGGTAACTTTTCTTTGGGAAATGGTAGATATACTTAGTATTTTATGATTTCTGAGCAAATTAGAAACTCCCATAAGCCTGGTTATACAATATTTGAATTACCCAAGAATTGTGGCAAGTGGGATTTCAAATAATCTTGTATTTACTGCTCTTGCACCTTGGGTGCTAAAATAGCACTCCCATGCTAATTCTGCAAGGTATGAAGGCTACAACAATTTCCTGTAACAAGCGAAGAGAGTATGTTATAGACATTAAGGTGTGTGGTTAAGTGCAAGTCCTTACTCATTACTTGGTTACACTGTACCTATGCAGCCTTCCAAGTTAAATTTTTGCTCAGCCGCCATTTCACAACAAACTGCTTCGGCTTAGGGAGAATTTTTTTCAAATCAAGTTGTCAACTGCAAACTTTAAGGCACCATACCTACTAAAATCGTTACAGCTTGCAGGGGTTGCTGTGAAGTCAACACCTATTACCAGCTCTTTTGTTTTGTCTCTGTCACTTTATTTTTCATGCAGTGTCTTATTCATGAACTGTTACTGTTTGTGTCAATTATTGCTACAGTAATTGTTATGTAGTTATAATTCTATCTTCTGAATTTTATGAGGATATTACCTTTTACTAAAACAAGCACGCCGTTGTATCGTCTTCTAAATTTCAAGGTTCTCAGCCTTTGTACAGTATTTTCTATTTGGTCTGAAATTATGAGAAACACATTGGAAAAAATAAAATGTAGTAGTTATCTTCTAGCAATGCTGGTCGTTGTTATTTATAAAAGAATGTTATTGAGATCAGTTATTCTTATCCTTTTTTTTTGGCATGAAGATGAAGGAATATTAAGGTTTTCTCTTATAGTTTCACTATGAGCACCAAATGGAGTATTTTCAAGAAATTAGTTTGGTTACCTTAGATAATTAATATTATTGTAGTAATCTTATTTTTTTGGGCTACTTTCCACCTCTTTGTGACAAACAACAAGTAGTGAAAATCATGAAATCTTCATATAGCTTTGTAACCTTTATGCAAATATGTTTGCAAATTGTGTGGTTATGCATTAATACTACATTTACCTTGATTCATTCTGTTTGTTCCACTGTTTCTGGAAGTGTAAAAAAATAAATAATTCAGGGAATGAAGATAACACTGTTTACTCTTGTTTCTTGACATGTGAAACAGTTTTTCTTATCTGTATTAATGCAAGTTGCATTGTTTTGATAAAGAAGTTAAACAGGGTTATTCTCCAGCAGAGCCAGATCACCCCTGGGGCTTAACTTTTGGTCTCAGGTGGTGAGAAAACTCTGACTGTTTTGATACAGATCATATGCTGGGCACCATTGATTTTACAGGTTGAGACCACTGAGTTTCCTTCTATTTTCCTTATAGCACAGCTTTGCTTAAAAATGAGTTTTTCGCCAATTTCTTACTTTTTTGTAAATCTTCTAGAAAGGTGATTTATTGAACAGTGTGTAATTAGATTAAAAATTTGAAAATGACTAAATTAAAGTTGAAGGGCTTATTGTTGAAATGTGTACATACATTGCTTGTTAGACATTTACGAAAAAAGTTTCCTTTAAGGGGAGGGTATTGGATGTAGCCTTTGGAATAAGGTGCGGGGGCAGTCATCTAAACTGTTAGATAAGGCGGGGTGGGTGTTGTTGCCAAAATTTTTTGGCAGCCATTCAAGCCTCACTTTGGTCTAAAAATAAGGGGGAAGGCAGGCCCCTCCTGTGCATGAGTGCTTCATATATTTTCATGGTATATACTACAGATGTGATCAGCTTACCCCAGGATAAACCAGGAAAATATGTTCGGAATAGAAGGGGATTGATAAATTGCATTGTCTCCCTATGGGGTGGGAAAATCCCGAACAATATTTCAACTTTAAGGGAAAGGAGTGGGATTCGACATACTTAATAATGAATTCATTATCTCAATAAAACTTGGATTCTTTGTTGTAATATTTAGTTGGATTACAGATTCTTTGAGGTGTATTGCAGTTTCCATACTCTAGTTTCCATAGTTTGAAACCTAGATTTGCTTAGATGGTGCGAAATACTTAATCTACTTCAATCTATGAGCCTGCCAGTAAAGGTTCTTGTTGTTGTTCACCCACGTCTAAGTTATCCTAAGATGACATTCCCTAACCCTACAAACAGTGCAATTATCACACTTTAATGTGACCTATTTTGTCAAGACCATAGGTATCATAAATTACTATTTTGTATTTGACATTTTTGATTCGGGAATTTTTTTTGGTTATTTAAGTAAGCTTTTTTTTTTGGTTGTTGATAACACTCTCAAGATTTGTTATAATGCACAGAATTCCTTGCCGTGTGCTTCTTCTTGTGAACTTTAACCCAACTTGTTGCCTTTTTGGACATTTTAAAGTTAAAAAATTTGGCATGCAATGTGAAATATGATTTTATGCTTTCTGAGGTAACTCCTACCAAGGGATTGCAGTCCTAGGAGACTAAAGGGAATGGCATTCTGTGTCAAATGTTCCACTTCTTATTGGTTAAAGAGTTTAAAAAAATTTTCTCTAAAACTACTTTCTCATCGATGTGTCACTACCAAAGTTGTTACTTCCAGAACATTTCATTTCAGGGGGTACCCTACTAGAATATAGTTTAAAACGACTTCAACATAGTATTGTTGAAGGTGTTGTAGTAGTTAAACAGTAGATATATGCATATTTTTGTCCCCTCAAAATTTTTCTGTCTTCCAATTTGCTAGGTGAAACTCCAGCTTATCAAAAATTTCAGCCACAACAGAGTCTCCTGAAAATTATAGGTGTCTTTTTTACCCGGAGGGGTACTGCCATATATGGGCTATTTTGGTATGTGCCACTGTGAAGGTATGGTTTTCAAGCAGTTTACTCTAGGATAGGGTATATAAATCAGAGCGTTTGGGTCTAGAATAGGGTATCATTTTTCAGGAAATTGATCAGTTGGTTTATGATTTTATGTAGACTGGGGAAACAGCTACTCTGGGATAGGGGGTTTTTGGGAGTTTACTCTAGTATAGGGTAGCAAAATTCAGCTGAACTAGCTCTGGTATAGGTGAAGGGTTGAAGGGTCCCAGGAGCACATCCCCACCCAGAAATTCCTAAAGTGCACTCCCCCGGGCCTTTTTAGCGTTACAATCCGTTGAAAATGAGCAATCATACCTTTTTTTAAAGGTTCGAAAATCCTAGGAGGCAGGTAAGCAAGAAATGTTACAACAAATGTTGCGAAAAGTCTACATCTGACATCATCTTGGGAACCAATATTTTCCGAAAATTGACTTTGGGTGCCCCTGTCATTTTCTCTGTCCGTTTTATTGTCAACGTCCCTGAGCTGAAATTTACATCAACCAGTTATTTACTAAAACTGATTCTCTTTTGTGTTCTTTATCTCAAAGTCTATGAATAGTGCGGTTTTCACTTGACTGTCGCAAGTAATTGACGAATTGGTTTGGTTTTGGTTTTACTATGCCTTTTGGTTGGCTTGTGTATTTACGAGAGTCAAGTGAAAGCCGCACTAAGGACCGGGAAATTTGTTCGTGATAAATTTCAATGAAATCAACATTTCTTATTAACCAATCACGGCTCTCGTCAAGTGAAACCATCAATCAAGTGGTCAATGTTATTCTTGGTGAACGTGTGTGCAACATACTGAAGTAAAAGCAAAACAATTTCTATTCTGTTCAAATGTAACTTCATCTACTTTGTTCGAGGCTAGTGCTTAAACAATAGTAAATGCTACAAAAAAGGTGATTGCAAATGTTGTTTCACGCCGGCAGCCATAATCAGTGGACCAACTTTGAAAGTGCATGGTTTTTATACGCGTGGAAAGGATGAGAGAAGGAGGTATCTCAATGTAATGTGTTTTTCATTGAAAGACATGTCATGACCTTTGGACGCCTGGAACTTCAGGTTACAATCAATAATCTTGTTTAGCAACAGTCTCGTCAACTGAAACCATCAATCAAGTGGTCAGTGTTATTCCTGGTGAACGTGTGTGTCGGACGTGTGTGCAACATGCTGAACTAAAGGCAAAACAATTTCTATTCTGTTGAAATGGAACTTCATCTACTTTGTTCGATGCTAGTGCTCAAACACATAGGCGTACGGGCCGGGGGGGCGAGGGGGGCTGCAGCCCCCCCAAATTTTGGGCAACTCAGATTTTTTGGGCAGCGAGAGAAAATTTGGGCAAAGCCAGTTTTCAAAGACGTCTCCATGTTTATTTAATTATTTTAAAGACCTGAATATTAACCTGAAGTCGGCGTAATAATCCAGTTACATTACAGTGGTTGCCTAGCATGTGATGAGTAATTTACATTTATAACATAGCGCGCGTGCTTGCCCTATATAAGTCCTATTGAGCCGCTATGAACAAAATCTTTATTTACGCACGCCCGTGCGTAAATAAGATGACGTGAGCATTTTTTTTCTTACCTGGCTGCAAAGTTGTCGTCTTTTAGTGCACTTTTCGTTCTCTTTAAAATATGGAAGAAACCAGCGAAGAACTGCCCAATTTTTCTATCGGTATTGACCTTTTAGGTCCTGATCCAACAAGTAGCAAAAATAAAGTCGAATGAAAAAAAAAACTCGCAAGTTGCGCGTTTCGCAAATTTGTCGAAGACTAGCTGCAGCAAATTTTGGCCTAAAGA